AAAAACAAGACAACAAGGTCAACCCACTTCTATCAAAACAATTTAGGTCAAAAAATGCTTAAATGTGCGTTAACATCACATATTCATAGCTGCCGCGTATCTATGGCTCGTTATACACTGTGAGCTATTATGATGTCGGAATGATGGGTTCTATTAGAGTAATAAAAATGGATATAAAAGATTTTTTGAAGATGTCAGTAAGTTAAAGCTGGAACTGATTCATAAATATAAAAGATAAGTTTTATTGAAATCTGCCTCGCTGAATGGGATTAAATAAGGTCATTTTACAAGAAAAAGTATAAGTAACCCCTCATTTGAAATTTATGGTCTTGAACTAATCATATTTGTACGTAAATATATAAAAAGCAGAAGTATAAGAATAAACTATATATCTATTTTATTATTTTAAGAGATAAGATGACTATTGAGACAAAATTTTATTATCAAAATGATCAATAAATGCTGCTAACAATAATTTGGTGAAATTTACAGGAAGAGGCAAGCGCATTCTCACAAAATCACTTTGGAAGAACTTTGAGTCTCAAGAAAAGAACTTTCTTATTGAGCAGTTATATGAATTAACAATGATTCGTGTTTCACTTTGGTAAAATAAAACAATATAATGTAATAATAATTCGCGAACTAGCATGTATATCACTAGCTAGAAGGCCGTACAACTATGGGACAGTATCATACAAATCTTGAGATAATGAAGAGTCCAAGTACCCAGTTCCATATTAAACTAAGTCTACAAAGGGGGACCTTTATTTCGAAAGAAAGTGCATGAAAAAGAGATTTGTTTGTCGATCTCACCAGATGAGGACGGATGAAAATTGTTGTACTGCAGCCGTTCGGTCACCTAAGTCGTATCTAAGTCTACTAAATTCAAAAAAAATAAATTTTTAATTTTTATCTATTCAACAAAGCATACCTGAGAAATGCTTTGCTTCGCTATAATAAGCTGAAAAATTAGGTAACGTTTAAGAAGGATAAGAGTTAGAGACCAAATTATGTTTTTGTTGGTGTAAGATAATAATTAAATGGATTTGATAAATTTTGGAAGAAATAGTGACTTTTGGAATATTCAGCGTAGTTTGTCATTTATGGGAGCGGTCATAATACATGTGCTTTCATGGCCTAGCATTAAATGAAATGTATCACACCGCCTTCTGCAGCAAGTTCGCAAAGTCCACCATGTAGCCATTATCCAAGGCAAAATAGTTTAATGGCCATAGTCCAAATTCTGCAAGTCAAGTCGACTTGTAGCATCCGTAGAAGTATGAAGAGTAGAAAATAACCTTTTAGTGTTTCTTGGTTCGCTAAGGGTCAGGACAGAGCTGGTGACTGACGCGATATTTGCGGAAGAGGGAGATGAAGCAGTGGAGGGAAGTGGGATTGCAGCACTGCTAGCAATAGTTCTAGAAGAGGTCAGAGCCAACAGAGAGGTGTTATCCTGTGGTGTTGAACAGCCAGGTGAGGAGCATAGCAAGCTACCAAGAGAAGGAAGATGAAAGTGCATGAGGCTGGGATTGCGAACTACTCTACGAATCTTGACGTCGTAGAGTCCACGACAGAGAAAAACATTGGTCAATGTAGCATCTTCAGGAAACTCGTCTTCACAAGTCGATAGAATCTGATATAAAATTTTAATATAAAAGCTAGATAGTAAGATTTCTGATCTAAAGTTGACAAGTATAAGATAAACAAATTGGTTTAAATAATCAGTATATATTTTACAAGCGACCAGGATGGAAAATTAATCAACCAAATCAGATCTCCTGCATCATGGGCCTTGTCATGTAAAAGTAACTAGGCCAAATCCCAGACTGGCAGAATAATTTATATTCACACTTTAAATATGGAAAAAGGGTTAACTGCACAAAATGGTAGCAAGAAAAGTTGGCCCTTAAAAGATCAAACGAGTACCGAAATAGGACTAGTTGGATCCTTAATACTAACCTCAATAGAACGTGAAGAGTTGGACTTTTGGACATCGTTTAAATGGAGAGGTGATCTGGTATGTACAATTCGACTTAAAGGTGGCCGAGAAAGACCCAACTTCTCAGATTTTAAGTAAAGAAGAATGCTTACATCACAAGACATGGATGATGGTTTAGGAGAAACAAGCTTTGAGATTCATTGAAGTTGTTATGATACAAAGCTTGAAATGTTATGGAGTACGATGTGTTGAAAGGTCTTTTGTATTTAGGCTAAACATTAACTGTGGATTAATCGAAGGTATGAATACCAAAATGGTGTAGCCTTTTGTGTTGTCGCAGTCTCCTTTTGTTGTATAGAAGTTGTTTATACCCTGTTTTCGCAACTCGGTCATATTGGTAGGAAGACTTAGAGGAATGCACATAGTACGGAGTCCATTGTATGGATCATCATTTCCAGAGTAGGACCGTGGACGTAGTACATTCCCAGACATTTCGCCAGGATCGTAGTCGGCTTCGTCACTAAGTCTTGCCATTCGTAGCACCATATTACAACTCGTCAAAGAGACAAGGGAAGCCCATACTTTGACCAAATGTGTGCTAAACCGTTGTGGTATCTCCCCTACTGCCCTGTCCTATTCACATTTCCTATATCCCTTTATCATGCCTTCCTTGTCAGAGTTTTTACTGTTCTTATTTTTAATGTAGTGTAGTGTGCTCCCTTAAGCGGCATTCATGAAAACCCTTTACACTACACACTGTGTTATCACCCCCTTCACCCTTATGCTGGGAATGTTGACCAGAGTCTGTCATATTGTTACGTAGTCCTTCCTTGGGTCCTATCAAAGTCTCCCTCTTGCCTAGTCGAATCCGTCTGCTATCTTCCTGATACATGTATTTCACTTGGCTACTGCCCCCCCCCATCCGTGCAATTCGAGACATAATTCGTCCATCTCTTGCACATGGCCGATTAATTAGAGGCTAAAGCCTCAGTCTGAGTCTCACGGTCATGCTTTTGCTACATAGACCACGTCTCTTGTAAAACCTATTAACAGCCATCTAGCTTCAATTTACGCCTCGTCTATCCTGTCTCTATTCCCAACACAAATTATGTAACTCTGCATGCACTAGTTGCATGTGTGCCAACCCAAAAATGTTGTGGTACTGCTGGCTTTGTTTAGGTTCAAGGTTGTGTGCCAACCTACAAACGCTGTGATCAACATTTAATCTAAAAAAAGCCAGCAGTACCCCAACATTTGTGGGCTGGTAAACATGCAACTAGGGCTAAACTTGTCTCTTTGATGAGTTGTAATATGGTGCTACGAATGGCAAGACTCAGTGACGATGCCGACTACGATGCAGGCGAAACGTCTGGGAATGTACCACGTTCAAGGTCCTACTCTTGAAATGATGATGCATACTATGGACTCTGTACTAGGTGCATTCCTCTAAGTCTTCTTACCAATATGACCGAGTTGCGAAAACAAGGTCAAACAACTTCTATTAACCGTTAAATTTCCACCAGATCTTGCCACGATAAGACAAGTATGTGATGAAATGTTGGGTTAGTTATATTTCAAAGCAATTATGTCAAGTCTATAATGGTTTACAGTCATCTGTGTTGTTAATAATTTCATTTCACCATTAAAATTTAATGTATTAATATTATGGATGTTTTAATTACTCTTTAATTAAAAAATATGAGAAGCGTATAATCTTAACATTTTAATTTAACGCCTTCTGCCGCAGGTGCCCTTGGGTCGCAGGGTAGAAGCGTGTATTTATTTGCATCAATAAGATCTAAAGTTCGGAAGGTGCATATAAAATCCCAGCAGACAAAATTAATTTATTTATTATGTAGATTAGTTTATATAAATTATTTGAGTAGATTTTTATTGAATTTTATACTATACACATTTATTAAGATAGATATATTAAAACTTCATATTTGACTTATATAAAATATTACATGATCCAAAAATTTAGTTTAAAAAAATTAAATTAATAATTACACTTATTTTAAGAATAAGAAAAAAGTTTATTTTTTATTTTCAAAAAGGTTATGTGAGTTAATATCATTCTTAAAATTAAGCTAGTTTTAGCTAGCTAATTACAATTTCTTATATTATACAGTTCTATTCAAACCCCGTTTTGTCGTTGCTCCTACTTTTTTCCAAGGGTTTTTCTCCTCTGTAATGTTCCCTCTGGATATGTATTTCAAAAATAATGTTTTTATGTTAACCCTCTAT